CAAACCAGGAGCCACCCGTTTGCGTTGTCAGCCATGAGTCCTGTATGTGATGTCAGTCAGTTGTGCACACACCATGGGGACGTGTGTGGCAACAATCCAAGTCAGGGAGTGAGAGAATTGGTTTGATTTCTTCTGTGGCTGCAAAAGAAGCTGTGTGGTGTCTTCACTGTGTAACAGGGAAAGCAGTGACACAAAACTGACTTCTGGCCCTGCCTGTGTGGCTTATTAATTGAGCATCGACCCATACACTAAGAGGTCGCCAGTTCGATTCCCAGTCAGGGCACATGCCCAGGTTGTGGGCCAAATCCCCTGTGGAGGGCATGCAGGAAGTGACGTATCGATGTTTCTGTCTCTCTCTTCCTCTCCATCTAAAATAAATAAAGGAAAAAAAATTTTTAATAAATAACACTGACTTCTGTGGGATGGTTGAAGGACTCAGAATCTTTTTTTTTTTTTTTTATCCTCACCTGAGGACATTTTTGCATTCATCTTCAGATAGAGTGAGAGGGAGGAAGAGAGAGAAAGAAACATTGATGTGAGAGAGACACAGACTGGTTGCTACCCACATGACCCCATTCAGGGTGGGGACGAGTTGCAACCAAGGTACATGCCTTCAGCGGGAACTAAACCCGGGTCTCTCTGGACCACAGGCTGACACTAAAACCACTGAAGCAAACCAGCCAGGGCAGGACTTGGAATCTTAACTTGAGTGATGGAAGACATGGGGTGCAGTGGGGTCTTGGGATTCTTCAGTAGTTGCAATGAGAAGGAAAGATGTTATTTGACCACAAGGTTAGAAGTAAAATGTGGGTGAAAGGTCCTGAGTGGTTTCATGTCATGTGTGAAAGAGCTTCCTTTTGGTCTTAGTTGCCACAAAATAGCTTTGTGCCTTGGGTCAAGAAGTGTGAAGAATCTGAGATTTTTATCCTATATGCTAGCTAACATGGTAGCTTTCCACATCTTATTGGATGCCAGAAAAAGACACGAGTCTTCTCAGACAGAGTCAAGAGACAATTTATCACTCATGTAGCAGCAAACAGCATGAACATCATCACATTTGCATCAGTCCCTATTGCCCTCATTTCCCTCAGAGGTGACAAGGATGGCCCAGACAGATGCTTCTTCAATTATGGATGATAACAGCATGCAGGGGGAATGAATTGGAGATGAGGCAGAAAAACACCTAGCATATAAGTGCTTGATAAATAATCAAATCTTATATGTATGCATGTAATGGCTAGAAGCAAATACAGGGAAATGTGGATTCTTAACATAGAAGTGGTGCAAAAATTATTTTTCTTTATCTTAACCATACTGTTTATAAAATAAATATTATAATAAACACTTTAAAACTAGTCACTCTTATATAAAGGGAATGTGGATGAAAAGTGTCTTAGAATTTAGGCGTGGCCCTAGCCGGTTTGGCTCAGCGGTTAGTGTCGGCCTGCGGTCCAGAGAGACCCAGGTTCGGTTCCTGCTAAGGGCGCGTACCTCCGTTGCAGTTTATCCCCAGCCCTAGTTGGTCGTGCGGGTGGCAGCCACTCGATGTGTCCCTTTCACGTCGATGTTTCTCTCTCTCTCTCTCTTCCTCTCTCTCCCTCCCACTCTATCTGAACAAAAAATGGAAAAGAATGTCCTTGGGTGAGGATTAAAAAAAAGAAGAAGAAAAAATTTAGGCATGGATTGATTGAAGTTTTAAAATGTACGTATTAGGCCCTGGCCGGTTTGGCTCAGCAGTTAGAGCGTTGGCCTGCGGTCCAGAGAGACCCGGGTTCGGTTCCTGCTAAGGGCACGTACCTCCGTTGCAGTTGTCTGGGTTAAGCGGGTGGCAGCCACTCGATGTGTTCCTTTCATGTCGATGTTTCTCTCTCTATCTCTCTCTCTTCCTCTCTCTCCCTCCCACTCTATCTGAACAAAAATGGGAAAATGTACGTATTAGGCCCTGACTAGTTTGGCTTAGCAGTTAGAGCGTCGGCCCAAGGACCAAAGGGTATCAGGTTTGATTCTCAGGCAAGGGCATGAACCTGGGCTGCGGGTTTGATCCCTGGCTCCGGTCTGGGTCGTGCAGGAGGCAACCAATCGATGTGTCTCTCTCACATCAATGTTTCTCCCTTCCCTCCCTCCCTTCTACTCTAAAAATCAATGGTAAAATATCCTACGTGAGGATTAACAAACAATAAATAAAAATAAAATGTGTGTGTTAGGCTTATCACCTACAACACTTTCAGGGAAGATATAAGTGAAATTTAAAGTCAATGAACAAATTTAGAACCTGTGAAATTATCAGAAAAAATTATATTTCAGAAGATTCTTTGGCACAGCAATATTATCAGAAGAGAATTCAAGGCATCCAAATAAAGGAAGGAATAACAGAAAAACACTGGTCAGGGTTGTGTGTAAAGATAAAAGTGTGAAATCTTTGGTTAGTTTGGTAATGAAATAGTGTTGCAACTTGATGTCACTTTTTTTTTTTTTTGAGGTAAATTGCTGAAAAGTTAGTTGTATAATATTTTTCTACAACAAAACCATGTTTTCTCATTAAGGTCCCTTATATATAGTGAGCTGCCTTCCCACAGTATAAATTAGCTCTAAAATGTCTAAAAATCACATGTGGAGCTTTAGACTGGAAGATATATCCTGTATTTAATTTTTTGACACCTCCTTCAACAAAAATCACTAACGGACAGAATTGTCTGTTATTTGCACACACTTGAGCTCCTCCTTTGGTTATCCACAGAGTCCCAGGTGAGGACAGAGGCTCACAGAAGCTAAGAGGAGTTTCACCAAGTTCTCTGGATAGAGAGAGGCCTGCCCTGTCCTGCCCCCTGTTATTGAGCTCTTTGCCCATGGACCAGGCATATAGGACTTAACAGCCTTATCTCATCATCAGAACAACTCTGGGTGCAGACAACTGTTAATCCCATTTTATTGATACATGTTTGGGGATGTTCCCAAACCTAAAACACTGACAACTCTAAATACTGTGAAAATGTGACAGTGAGCAGCTCTCATTACTGGTGGGAATGCAAAATGGTACAGCTACTTTGGAAGATGGTTTAGTGATTTCTTTCTTTTTTTTTTTTAATTGTTTTTACTGATTTAAGAGAGAGAAGATTGATTGGCTGTCTCCTGAATGCCCCCACTGGGGATGGAGCCGCAACCTGGGACTGGGAAATTGAGCCAGCAGCCTCTGGGTCCATGGGACGATCCTCAACCAACTGAGCCACACTGTCCAGAGTGGTTTGGCATTTTCTTACAAAACTAAGCATACCTGTACCCTGCTATACAGCATTCACACTTTTTTTCTTCAATCCTCACCCAAGGATATTTTTCTATTTATCTTCAGATAGAGTGGGAAGGAGGGGGAAGGAGAGAGAGAGAAACATTGATGTGAAAGAGACACATCTACTGGGTGCCTCCTGAACAACCCCGGCCAGGGCCAGGGACGAACCGCAACTGAGGTACATGCCCTTGACCGGAATCAAACCCGTGACTCATTGGTCCTCGGGCCAAGGCTCTAGCCGCTGAGCCAAACCAGCCAGGGCCGTCATGCTTTTTGTATTTACCCAAAGGAGTTGAAAGCTTATGTCCACATATAAACTTGCATGTGGGTATTTATAGTAGCTTTTTCATAATGGCCAAAACTTGGAAGCAATCAAGATGTCTTTCAGTAGATGAAGAGATAATTAGACTGCGGTACTTCCAGACGGTGGAGTATTATTTAGTGCTAAAGGGAAATGAGCTATCAAGCCATGTAAAGACATGGAGGAACCTTAAATGCAAATTGCTAAGTGAAAGAAGCCCGTCTGAAATGGTTACATACAGTATGATTCCAAATGTAGTGTGTGATACTAAACAAAACCTGTATGTACACACCAAGAGTGAACCCTAATGTGAAATACGGAGTCTCTGCTCTCGCTGTATGGATTGGTTAGAGTGTCATCCCATGTACCAAAGAGTCATGGGTTTGATTCCCAGTCAGGGTGCATACCTAGGTTACGGGTTCAATCCCTGGCCCGGTTGGAACTTATGCAGGAGGAAACTGATCGATGTTTCTTTCTCTCTCTTTCTCCCTCCCCGACCACCCCTCCCTCTTGCTCTAAAAAAATAAAATAAAATAAAATATGGAGTCTAGGTGATAATGATGTATCACTGTGGTTGATCAGTGGTAACAAATATACCTCACTCTTGCAAAATGTTGATAGTTGGGGAGGTTGTGCACTTGAGGGCCAGGGTAGTTTTGCTATGAAACTAAAATGACTCTTAAAAATAAAGCCTAGCCCTGGCCGGTTTGGCTCAGCGGTTGGAGCATCGGCCTGCAGTCCAGAGAGACCCGGCTTCGGTTCCTGCTAAGGGCATGTGCCTCGGTTGCAGTTTGTCCCCAGCCCTGGTTGGTCGTGTGGGTGGCAGCCACTCGATGTTTCCCTTTCACGTCGATGTTTCTCTCTTTCTCTTCCTTCCACTCTGTCTGAACGGAAAATGGAAAAAAATGTCCTCGGGTGAGGATAAAAAATAAATAAAGTCTAGCCCTGGCCAGTTTGGCTTAGCAGTTGGAGCATTAGCCCGTGGACCAATGAGTCGTGGGTTCAATTCCCGTCAAGGGCACAACCTCGGTTGCAGTTCGTCCCCAGTCCTGGTTGGGTCATGCAGGTGGCAGCCAGTCGATGTGGCTCTATCACATTGATGTTTCTCTCTGTCTCTCTTTCCCTCCCTCCCACTCTATCTGATGAGAAATAGAAAAATATCCTCGGGTGAGAAATAAAATAATAATAAAGTCTATTTAAAGAAAACAAACCAGAACATATCAATCTTAGACCTTTTTACAGCTTAGCAGACATCTTGCTCTAGCAATACTGATTGACTGATAATTGCCCTAAAAGTGACAAAGCTTCAGTTGATATACCACTTGAAACCAATTAATTTTCAGTAAATGGAACATTCCTGTCTCAGCTGCAGATTTGTTTACCATGGCATGTTCATTTTGATCTCTTTCCCTGCAGGACAACCCTCCATATGATAAGGGGGCCTTCAGAATCGAAATCAACTTTCCAGCAGAGTACCCATTCAAACCACCGAAGATCACATTTAAAACAAAGATCTATCACCCCAACATCGATGAAAAGGGACAGGTCTGTCTGCCAGTAATTAGTGCTGAAAACTGGAAGCCAGCAACGAAAACTGACCAAGGTAAGGCATGCTTCTATGTCCTCCTCTAAAGGTGCTCTTCTGGGGATGCTGCTGTGTGACAAAGGCTCCTCAGTGCCTTTTAATGCCATGTCACACACAGTCCAGCTCTAGGTTACACACAAGTGCAGCTGAGGTTTCACCAATTCTTATGGACATGCTACATCCCAGTCAACCTGTTGACCTGCGCAGGTATTTGAGGGGACCCTTCTTGTGCTCGCAGACCAGTGGAGACACATGTAGAAAGACCAGCCTAGTACTTGGTACCAGTGCAATGAGGGAGGTAGGCAATGTCCCTGGGAGTTTTCATGAAGGATTATGGACTGCCACAGAAGGGAAGGGGGAGTGGTGGTTCAAGTGGCCTCACAGCCCTGGCTGGTTTGGCTCAGAGGTTAGAGCATCGGCCCACGGTCCAGAGGAGCCCAGGTTTCGTTCTTGCTAAGGGCATATACCTCGACTGCAGTTTGTCCCCGACCTCATTGGGGTTGTGCAGGAGGTGGCCATTTGATGTGTCCCTTTCATGTGCCAATGTTTCTCTCTCTCTCTCTTCCCCATTTTCTCCCACTCTATCTGAACAAAAATGGAAAAATGTCCTTGGGTGAGGATAAAAATTAAAAATAAAAATAAATTTAAAAAAATGACCTCACAGCCCGGCCGGTGTGGCTCAGTGGTTGAGCATCAACCCATGCACCAAGAGGTCTCAGGTTCGATTCCCAGTCAGGGCACAGGTCCAGTTGTGGGCCCAGTCCCCAGTGGGGGCATGCAGGAGGCGGCCAGTCGGTGTTTTCATCAGTTTTTCTCTCTCTCTTTAAAAAGCAATAAAGAAAAAATAAAGTGGCCTCACACAGCAGTTAGTATGTATACTCAGACATGAAGGAAGAAGGGAGGTTGAAGAGGGCCTTCCAGACTAAAACAAGGTACAAGCCAAAGTTATCTGGTCGGCAGCAGCAGAAAGCCAGTGGCTCAGTGGGTGGTGTGGGGATGGGGATATGGTCAGACTCGAGGACTGTGTGCCTCAGTGAAAGCACATAGTCAGGCCCTGGCTGTTTTGGCTCAGCCATTAGAGCATCAGCCTGCAGACTGAAGGGTCTCAGGTTCAATTTCTCAGTCAAGGACACACACCTGGGATGCTGGTGCAAACCCTGGTCTGGGTCATGCGAGAGGCAACCAGTCGATCTGTCTCTCTCACATCAGTGTTTCCCTTCCTCCCTGTCTCCCACTCTATGAAAAAATCATTGGAAAAATATCCTTAGGTGAGTATTAACCAAAAAAAGGAAGCACATAGTTGGCTTTAGTGGGCCTGGAGCTCCCTGGAATTTGATGTGTCCATGTGTCTGGATGTCTCTGTGTAAATATACATGTTCATTGGCAGGGATGGGGGAGGGTACTTAATTCATTACTGTTATTGGCCTCCCTCTTGTCCCCTGGAAGTTACTAGATTTTATTATGGACTGTGTCTAGTTTTTATTTCCTAATTCCAGAACTAACGTTTGACATTCTAACTTCATATTTTGTGTGGCTTCTTATAAGTAACCAGCCAAACCACTATAAGTTTTTTTTAGATTAAAGAAAATAGATAAGGCTAGACTTTATGGGGCTGCAGATGGTTTTCCAGTGAATGATATAAATAGTCATTTTTCAGTGGAACCCCTGCAAGATGGAATTGAAAAGCTTTCACATGGAAAGTTCAGCCTCAGGCTCAGCACAACTAAGTTGTAGAAAGGAGTGGGTACTAAACACTCTTTTTTTTTTTTTTTCGTGGTATGTGCCCCTAGCAGGAACTGAACCTGGGACTCTCTGGTCTGCAGGCCAACACTCAACCGCTGAGCTAAACTGGCCAAGAGGAGTGGGTACTAAATGCTGAGTCAAAATGGAAAGATCTCCAATCGACTTGGCACTTGATCATGTACAAGTTGATGTTTATAAAAACTTGACAAAGTTATTTGTTTTTTTTCTTTTTTCTTTTTAAATTGATTCTAGAGAGAGAGAAACATTGATTTGTTGTTCCACTTATTTATGCATTCATTGGTTGATTCTTGTATGTGTCCTGACCAGGGACCAAACCCACTACCTTGGTGGATTGGTATGATGCTCGAACCAACTGAGCTACCCAGCCAGGGCTGACAAATTTATATATATATTTTTTTTTTTCTTTAATCCTCACCCAAGGACATTTTTGCATTTATCTTCAGATAAAGCTGGAGGGAGAGAGGAAAGGAGAGAGAGAGAGAAACATCGACTTGAGAGAAATATATTGACTGGTTGCCACCCACACGACCCCAGCCGGGGCCAGGGACAAACTATAACCAAGGTATGTGCCCTTAGCGGAAACCGAACTCAGGTTTCTCTAGTCCATGGGCCAACGCTCTAACCTCTAAGCCAAACCGGCCAGGGCGACAAAGTTATTCTTAAGTGTACATGCCTGATTTTTTTTTACCCCCTATACAAATCTCTAGCTCTGTGTTGGAATCCTGTAGCAGGAATGCCTTGTCAGCCCCTCATGCAACTCCCAAAGCCCTTGCCAATTTGTGTGTATTAAACACCTTGTCTGTGGAGGCGAAGTCCTTCCAGACCCCTAACCCCAAGGGGTCAGGAGGTGGACTGGACAGGACGTGTTGTGACAACCAGGAGTAGAGAGGCTTGCAGGAGATGAACACAAGTAAAAGTGTTTTGCTACCTTTTATAGGGGCTGGCTGCCCAAGAGGGCTGTCAGTATTATTCCTATATTGGGGCGATGAAAATATTTTGGAGTTAAATGGTAGTGTCACACAATTTTGTGAATATACTAAAAACAACTGAATTGTATACTTTTTTCTTTATCTTTACCTGAGGACTTTTTTTGTGTGCATTTATCTTCAGATAGAGCGAGAGGGAGGGAGGGAGGAAGAGAGAGAGAGAAACATCTATGTGACAGAGACATCGACTGGTTGCCAACCACACGACCCCAACCGGGGCCGGGGACCAACTGCAACTGAGGTATGTGCCCCCAGCGGGAACTGAACCCGGGACTCTCTGGTCCACGGGCCGACACTCTAACTGCTCAGCCAAATTGGCCAGGGCTACTTTTTCTTTTTTAATCCTCACTCAAGGGTATGTTTATTGATTTTTAGATAGAGTGAAACATCGATGTGAGAGAGACACATTGATTGGTTGCCTCCCACACAACCCCGCCCAGAGTCAGACAGAACCACAATCAAGGAACGTGGCTTTGTCTGGAATCAGTCCCGAGATCTTTGGTCCAAGGCCCAATGCTCCAACTGCTGAGCCAAACCGGACAGGGCTTAAAAATATATTTATATTGATTTTTTTTCCTTTTTTTCATCTTCACCCGAGGACATTTTTTCTATATATATATATATTTTTGTTCAGATAGAGTAGGAGGGAGGGGGGGAGAGAGAGAAACATCGACGTGAAAGGGACACATCAGGTGGTTGCCACCCACATGACCCAACCAGGGCCAGGGGACAAATTGCAACCGAGGTACTTGCCCTTAGCGGGAACTGAACCCGGGTCTCTCTGGGTTGCAGGCTGACGCTCTAACCGCTGAGCCAACTGGCCAGGGCTATATTGATTTTTTATTATTTATTTATTTTTTATTTTGCATTTATCTTCAGAGTGGGAAGGAGAGAGGGAGGGAGAGAGACAGAGAAACATCGATGTGAGAGAGACACATTGACTGGTTACTACCCACAGGACCCTAACTGGGTCCAGGAACAAACTGCAACCAAGGTACGTGCCCTTAGCGGGAACCGAACCTGGGACTCTCTGGACCACGGGCTGATGCTCTAACCGCTAAGCCAAACAGGCTGACGCTCTAACCGCTAAGCCAAACAGGCCAGGGCTTACTGATTTTTTTAGAGAGGAAGGAAGAGTAAGAAAGAGATAGAAATATCGATTTGAAAGAACCATTGATTGGCTGCCTCCTGCACGCCCCCTACTGGTGATGGAGCCCACAACCTAGACATGTGCCCTGACTGGGAATAGAACCAGGACCTCTCAGTCTACTGAGCCACACTGGCCGGGCTAATTGTATACTTTTAAAAAGAGTTTATTTTGCCTGGCCAGTGTTGTTCAGTGGTTGAATGTTGTCGCATGGACTGAGAGGTCCTGGTTCTATTCCTGGTCAGGGCTCATGCCCGGGTTTCAGGCTCAATCCCCAGTAGGGGGCGTGCAGGAGGCAGCTGATTGGTTTCTCACATTGGTTTGTCTCTCTTCCTTCCTCTCTCTCTAAAAAATAAATAACGTTTAAAATTTCTTTTTTAAATGAAACAAGTAAAAGTAAGTTCTCAGGAAAGAATTAGACAAATAACAAACGGCAAAGTGAGTATCTTTTTTTTTTTTTTTTTTTTATCCTCACCCGAGGACATTTTTCCATTTTTTGTTCAGATAGAGCGGGAGGAAGAGAGAGAGAGAGAAACATCGATGTGAAGGGACACATCGAGTGGCTGCCACCCGCATGACCAACCAGGGCCGGGGACAAACTGCAACCGAGGTACGTGCCCTTAGCAGGAACCGAACCCGGGTCTCTCTGTACCACAGGCTCCAACCGCTGAGCCAAACCGGCCAGGGCAAAGTGAGTATCTTTTGAAAAGCGTGTCATAATAATTACCAAATGATTTTATACTAATACATTAGATATTAAGATATAATCGTAGTAAAAAGCCGAGAGCCTGAGTATCCATAACAGAGAGTGGGCAGGAAAACTTGAAAACTCATCAGTGCTCCCTCATATCCCAAAGCATTCAATCCTGTGGGGTTCCTGAAATGCTAATGTAGCAGCATTTCTGCTACAATACCATTTCTAATTATGGAAAAAGTCTAGAAGCCACCTATTTATGCTGTAGAAGTTAAAAAGAGCAAAGAGGCTTTGCTTTGCTAGAAGATTTATTCAAGCTTTTTAGAGTTTGCAAACTGGAAACACGGCTGGGCAAAAGGTAGAAATGTTTCGAAGGAGAAAGAAAAGCTGAGACGGTTCTTAGAGAGTAAAAAGTATATTCCTGAGAAGAATCAGCCCTACATTCTTAGTGGCAGGATTGGTCCAAGAAGGTTATTTTCAGGTGTCCAGTGGTCTGGACAATGGAACAATTTCTTCTTAAAGTCATTTGGATGGTGATCTGAAGGTTTGATGTATGTCCAGTTATTGATAAACAGCAATCTGATATGCATTCAGGTATTGGCATAAGTTTAAAAGTTTAAGATTGGTTACAGCATGCCTCATACTTCAGCGTACTTTATTTTTTTGTTTTTGTTTTGTGTGTGTGTGTGTTTTAAAAATAATTTTTTTGCCCTGGCCGGTTTGGCTTAGCGGTTGGAGCATAGGCCTACAGACCAAAGAGTCACGAGTTCAATTCTGTCAAGGGCACGTACTTCAGTTTTGATTTGGTCCCTGGCCCTGGGCAGGGTTGTGGGGGAGTTAATCAATCCATGTGTCTCTCTCATGTTGATGTTTTTCTCTCTCTCGCCCTCCCTCCTCCTCACCTTCTCCTCCCACTCTATCTGAAGATAAAATTGGGAAATATCCTCGGGTGAGGATTAACAAAATAAATATAAATATAAAAAATATATATATTTTAATATGTTTTATTGATTTTTAGAGAGAGAGACATCCTTGGGCTGCGTCCTACATGCCTCGTACTGGAGATCGAGCCAGTAACCCGGCCATGTGCGCTGATCAGTAGTCAGACCAAGGACCTCTTGGTGCATGGAACAACACTAACCACGGAGCCACACTGGCTGGGCATCAGCCTACTTTATTTTAATAATTTAGCAACATGACCATAGTGACTCCATTTTATTTCTTCACTCTATTCCTCAATGTTATAAGTAGCATTGAATGAAGGATGAAGAATCTTGGAGTACATGGCCAGCAAACTGAGGGCAGTTTTTTATTTTTATTGACTTTCAGAGAGAGAGGAAGGGGGAGAGAGAAATATCAACGTAAGAGAGAAACTTCAATTGGTTGCCTCCTATACACACCCAACTGTGGATCAAACCCACAATCTTTTGGTGTATGGGACCATGCTCTAACCAGCATAGTCACTTGGTTAGGGGTGAGGACAGGGTTTTAGAGAAGCTATAAAGGTACTGTTTGGAAGAGTGTTTGTCCCAGTATGGTCGCCTCCCCTGGCTGGACAGGAGGAAGCCTTTGGTGCTTATTTTAGTGTTTTTCTGAGACTATTTCAACCAGTGTTTCCTTGTCCTTTTGTTGATGCATGCCTTCTGTTTATGTCAAGTAAAAGTGATTTTCCATTTGAGTTACTAACGGTTTTTTTTTTTCCTTTTAAAAATATGTTAATAAGTGAAATTTCGAGAAATACATTAAGTAAATTATTGTTTAGGCTATATGTGGATATATGGCAACCAGTGGAGTACCAGAGGTTGAAGTTGGGGAAATAGGAATAAACAAAGTAGCTTTATCATCATTTCTGCTCAGGTAGGCAAAAATCAAATATAGAAGGGATACATTTGGAGATAAAAGATATAAAAATGTACTTCCAGGGTGTGCTTCCTCTTATAGATACTGCAGATGGTATGTTAAAGGAGGTGATAATGTCTGCCCCTGAGGGTGTCATGGAGATTGAATTAGAGCTTGCCCTGGCCTTACGAGATACTTCAGGCCTTTCACCCCTGCTTGCTATTCACAGTACACCCTCCTTGCCCAGCCTTCCTCCTTCCTCACTCAACCTTGGCCACATCATCCCTGTAGGGCCACCCTTCCTGCCTTTATCTTGCTGCCTCACCTGTGCCCACCACGGTCACAGAAACCCTTGATTGCCCTGTCTCACCATCTGGTAGCATTAATAGGAGGAAGTGGGGGCAGGTAGTGTTTAGATGCCTGTCCAGGAGTACTTTGTGCTTTTTCCCCTCACTCAGCATGGTGCTATTGACTGGTTATGCCTTTGTGCATGACTCAGGCAGCACTAGCATTGGAATCCATTCCTTGTAATGCTGTTGTGAAAAACATGGGACCCGTGCTCGCTTCAGCAGCACATATACTAAAATTGGAACGATACAGAGATTAGCATGGCCCCTGCGCAAGGAAAAACATGGGACCCCAATATAGGAATTCATGGTATCAGCAATCCAGAGGAGAGATGCCTTTTTGCTAGGCATGTGGTACTAGGAATGTGGCAGTGGGAAGTAATGCAGCATTCTGGGGGTACTAGGGTTAGTGGAAGTGTATGTGAGAACGTATGGCTGTGTGCACCCCACTTCTGAAGAGGCCTGGGGATCCTGGACCTTCCATACTTCTGCCTCAATCTCCCTCCCCTACCTTCAGTCCCCTCATGGTCCTTCTGTCCCAGGGCTAGCTTTCCAGCACATCTAGGATTTACTGCTCTTTAGGAGAGCATTGTAGAGCCCACCCCAAGCCATCAGTGTGACTTCTGCCTCTGGAATGGACAGTATAATGCCACTGGGGATTAACCTCCCAGTGGTTAGACATGGTGATCAAATGAACCTTTGTCAGCTGGTTCAGAAGCTCATCAGGGTCTTCCAGAGTGGGCTTATTATGCATTTACATGGTGCAGGCCTGTCATGCCCCCTTCATTCACTTATTCATTGAAACTACCCTGAACTGAGCACAGTTCTGGAACACATCACCCAGTCCTGACCTGGAGAAGCATGAGAAAAAGATCCAGGCCTGAAGTCTCCAGAGTTTGGGGGAAGGGTAGGAGTGACTAGGGACTGGGACAACTTCAGGGTGTCAATTCAGGAAGGTTCCTGGAGGAGGAGGAGGCATCACTCTGAACAGTTATCCACTGTTGACTGTTTTTCATCACTTTCTCCTCATTACAGAGGAAAGTTAAAGTGCTTGTGGTTAGAATTTTGGATAAATCTGAGGCTGCTTTGTCTTAGAAGCACATAAATATAAATCAATATGAGAGTCAGAGTTGCATATCTTGCCTGGGCCCTTTCGGAAACTACTGTAACCAGCAATGCCTTCTCCTTTTCTTGGCAGTAATCCAGTCCCTCATAGCACTGGTGAATGACCCCCAGCCCGAGCACCCACTTCGGGCTGACCTAGCTGAAGAATACTCTAAGGACCGTAAAAAATTCTGTAAGAATGCTGAAGAGTTTACAAAGAAATATGGGGAAAAGCGACCTGTGGACTAAAATCTGCCGCAATTGATTCCAGCAAGTGTGAGCAGAGACCCCGAGCAGTGCATTCAGACACCCCGCAAAGCAGGACTCTGTGGAAAATTGACACGGGCCACCACCTGGCGTTTGCTTGTGGCAGTTACTAACTTTCTACAGTTTTCTTAATCAAAAGTGGTCTTAGGTAACCTGTAAAGAAAGGATTAAAAATTTAAGATGTTCTAGTTCTGCTTTCTTTGTTTTAAAAATCACTGCTTCAATCTCCTCTAAAAAATGGTGTTTCTTTTCTTGTCCAAATTTATCCCAAATCTTCAATTTACATTTAGACCTTAAGGTTTAAAATAAAAGGTTGTGGTTCCCTCTCTTCCCGTGCCCTTACAACTCCCACTTTCTTGCATTCAGTTTATTTTTCATTCATTCACTTCCCCGGACCCAAGCCCTGCCTCCTCCACAAAGGAGAAGAGACAGCTCTGTCCTGTCTGGTGGCCTCTCTTCTCCAATGTTGCACTGCCTAGTGTGGGAGTTCATTCAAATTCTTCTGGTTCCAATTTATATCATCCTTTTTTTTTTTTCTTTTTTTTTTTTAATTAAAAAATAAGCAAATTACCACCACCACCAAAAAAAACAAAAAACTGTCAAAAGGGAAGCCCAGCTCTTATGTAAAAATCTGGCCAATGTTACCATTATAACATTGATTAAATGGCAACCCTGATGTCTGTGTGTGTGACTGAACTCCAGCCTGGCCTGCTTGCGGAGACCCTGCAATATCAGGTCTGTGGCCACCCAGGGGAGGGCCTGCCAGCCAGAGGACACTGCACTTGTGTGAGGAATTTCTCATCAAAGAGGCTCCTTGAGGTCAAAGTTTGGCGTTCCTCCCTGCAGCCATTTTAGAAGAAGTGCTGGTCATTGCAGACAACGCTAAAGCCAGAATGTCCATTTGAATTTCCACGCTCACCTGTCAGCAAGCTCCATCCGAATGTGCCACGGAGCCCTTTCTCCACCTCAGTGCAGCAGCCCCACCTCAGCCCTCCCTCAGCACGGTTTGACCCTTTGCGGGTTGGAATTGGCAGGACTCCGCTATAGCCAGCACCAGTCTGGGGTCACCAGTGCCCTGCTGGCCTCTTCCTTCGAAGCAGCTGGCCACGCCAGCCCAGGAGCAAGACGGCCTTCCCTCTCCCTCTGGACTCACAGCCTTTGCAGAGTCAAGCTCCACTTGAAGCTCACTCAACAATATCCTTTACATGTGTTTTATATTGTTTTGACTGCCTTTTTTTGTAGAAATAAAAATTGACCATAGAATTTATCCTCAGATGAACTTGTAAGGATTTGAATATTAATGTTTTTTTCAAAGCAAGTGGGACTATCCCTGAAATAGAGAATACGTGTCATTCATTGACACCCAGAGGAAGCCGATGGTCCAAATGCCATGAGTCACCAACTCCACTTCTGCCATTGGAGGCTTCCTTTCTTGGCCCTCTGGGGTACTAGATTCTGTGGAGAAATGACTTAAGAAAGAAACTTTGCTTTGTTTTAATTTTAGTTCTAAAACTTGAGATCTTTCCAGGGCTTGTGACCAGTGAGACAGCTGCTCAGAAATGGGAGTGATGGGTGGGTTTGGCAGCATAACATTGTTTGGTTGTCAAGCACGTGGCCCCTGTATAGTGTGTCACTCAAGGGGCAGGCTCTGGAGACTCCCATGTGCCCAGGAGAGCTGGGCCAGCATTTCCTCATCTATCTCTTCATTAGCAGAAAGGTGATGATGGACTTTATTTCACTCACACACAGATTTGTAACAAGATGCCAAATTCTGTCCAAAGCTATTCAAATAAGCCACCATCGTTGCTTCTCTGAACCCAAAGTTATTGCCATTCTTGGGAACTGTCCCATTGCTTCATGTTTCTACCAGCATAGTTCTGCCTGCCTGTCACCCCTCACTTCTCTGTTTACCACAGGAGGTACCTTTGTTAAAACTGGCAGCCTCTCAGGGGACTCTCAGCCCTGGCATTGCACCCCATGGTTTGTGCAGGTCAGGAGAGGCCTGGCCCTGGGAGAGCAAGGCCATGGGTGGTCCCTCCTTTAGAACTTGGGTTGCGTGCTCCATCCAGTCTAAAGCAGTTGTGGTGGGTGTTAGCTGAGCCCTTGGAGCAGGCTTTGAGCACCGTGGAGCCCTGGCAGCTCCACTGCCAACCAAGCTGGGTCCTCTGGGGAAGGGGAGAGTTGGTCAACACTGACCTGAGCCCACTCAGGAATTACACACCTGCCTGAACCAAAACTAAGTGGGCCGGGTCCTCCCCCTCCTCCCTGCCCCTGCCCCCCATGGCAGAGAATAGTCTTTCTTTCTAAGATGCTGCAATCCCGTTCTGCTGCCCTTAATAAAAATGCTCTCCAACACTGGTTTGGTTGTGTGGGTTTCTTACTTACTGGCGGTGGACAGTGCCAGGGGCCTGCACTCAGAGGTATGGGACAGGTGGCTGGGGCTGTGGTCCTACGGCCTCTGGTTTCCCAAAGTTTCTGCCTGCCCCTCTCTCCATGCCTAACCTCCAAAAGAGGAGTAGAAAAAGCTGGAGTCCAGATTATTGGGTGTCTCGGGAGGGGACATCACCTCTATGTACTATATCAGCCCCAAAAGAGGGATATTATCCACATACAACAAAAGAGCGAACTGTCTGTCTTGATCAAGTTCATGGAACTAATGAGGGTGGCGTTAGGCCATTTCCTTGAAGGGTTCCACCCAGAAACCTCCCTCTCAGTCCCCAGGACAGTGGGCTGCTAAGGTAGTGACTCAGCCCAGGTCACTGACACTTAATTTTTTTTACTGATTTTTAGAGAGAGAGGGAGAAATATCGATTTGATGTTCCACTTATGTTGGATATATTGGTTGCTTCTTTTTTTTTTTTTTTTTTTTTTTTAGGTTGAGTGGGGGGCCGGGGGGGAGAGAGGAACAGAGAGAGAGAGAGAAACATCGATGTGAAAGGGACACATCGAGTGGCTGCCACCCGCACGACCGACCAGGGCCGGGGACAAACTGCAACCGAGGTACGTGCCCTTAGCGGGAACCGAACCCGGGTCTCTCAGGACCGCAGGCCGACGCTCTAACTGCTGAGCCAAACCGGCCAGGGCTATTGGTTGCTTCTTGTATGTGCTCCGACCAGGGATCGAGCCCACAACCTTGGTGTATGTATCGGCATGATGCTCTAACCAACAGAGCTACCGGGCCAGGCCATCTGATACTATTTTTTGATCAGCCAAGTTCTTTGCCTGTAATGATACCAGCTGAAACCAGGCCTGCCCTGTCAGCCACGCCTGCAGGTTCTGGGAGGGAACATTCTACCTGGGATGTCATTTTACCAGGAAGCAGGGAGCAAACCTTTCCTTTGATCATCAGCTGGAGTACTCTGCCATGTCCCAGCTCTTTATTCTCTGTGAAGCTCAGGACAACCCCATGGGCACCATTATTCCTATTTTTACAGAGGAGGAAACAGCCTTAGTGATAGCCAAGGGCACATGGCCTGTGTTTTTACACAGTCTAGCTCCTGTTGTATTCCATCACTGGTCCCTTTGAACCCAGACACAGCCACAGTTCCCCCCTTTCTATAGCCAGAGGCCTGCATGACTCTTAACTTCCAGAACCCTGGAGTTACCATTTTCTTGCCTTTCTTCATTTTTGTTTTTAATTGATTTTAGTGAAGAAGGGAAAGGGTCAGAAACATCAGTCAGTTACCTCCCACATGCATCCTGACGGGATCGAACCTGCGGCCTGGGTATGTGCCCTGACCAGGAATCAAACCCTTGACCGAGACGTCACTCCAACCAACTGAGCCACACTGGCCAGAACCTTCCTTCACTTTTTTTTTTTTTTTTAATCCTCACCTGAGGACATTTTTCCATGTTTTGTTCAGATAGAATGGGAGGAAGAGAGAGAGAGGAACATCGACGTGAAAGGGACACATCAAGTGGCTGCCACCCACATGACCCAACCAGGGCTGGGGACAAACCAACCGAGGTACGTGTCCTTAGCGGGAACCGAACCCGGGTCTCTCTGGACCGCAGGCTGACACTAATCGCTGAGCCAAACCGGCCAGGGCCCTTCCTTCACTTTTCAAAAAGAATACGTTTTTATTAATTTTTTTTTTAGAGAGAGAGAAAAATATAGATGAGCGAGAAGCATCAATTGGCTGCCTCCTGCACAACCCCTAGGGATCAAGCCTGCAACCAGGACATGAGACCTGACTGAACTGGTGACCTCTTGGTGCATGGGTCGATCATCAACTACTGAGCCACACTGGCCCAGCCCTTCCTTAACTTTTTTTTTTTTTAATCCTCACCTGAGGACATTTTTTCATGTTTTTTTTTTGTTGTTGTTGTTCAGACGGAGTGGGAGGCAGAGAGAGAGAGAAACATCAACGTGAAAGGGACACATCGAGTGGTTGCCACCCACACGACCCCATCTGGGCCCCGGGACAAACTGCAATTGAGGTACGAGCCCTTGTGGGAACCAAACCCCGGACTCTGGCCCGCGGGCCGACACCCTTAACTGCTAAGTCAAACCGGCCAGGGCTCTCCGCCTTCTTATCACCTTCCCTCCACGTATGAGGCAGACCTTGGATCTCCTAATTGTCCTCCCAGACTGGCCATCCCCCCTCTCTTTTCTCTACTGTTTAATGTTCATGGTCCCTGGGAATGGTCTGGGCCTTCATCCTTCTCTCCCTCCCTGGGTGATAGTAGTCACTCCCATGGCTTCATCTAGCATCTTCAGATCCCCAAGTCTCTGTGCCATCCCCCCACACCTGTTCTGAGTCAGAATCACACAGCCAGCTGCCTCCTCCTTTCAGAACAACAGGACCACCCCCTTGAGGGAGGTGCCCCTGTGCCAACAGGCTAACTTCAGGTCACCCCTATCAGCTTCAGCCAGCAGCTTGCAGGAATGTGGCCAGACCCTAGTGTGCTGAGGCATAGAGGTGAGGGCGAAGCAAAAGAAGGAACCAAACTTACAGTGATTTGAGTTCACGGCCATAGATAAAAAAGGTAGGAGGAAAGGGGCTGTGCCTGGAAAAGTAAAGGTCAAGGGAAGGTGAGAATGGAAGATGGAGCCAGAAAAGAGGGCACTGAAGCCACAGTTAAGCATGGGGTTGTAGCCCTGGCCAGTTTGGCTCAGCGGTTAGAGCGTCGGCCTGCGGTCCGGAGAGACCCGGGTTCGGTTCCCGCTAAGGGCACGTACTTCAGTTGCAGTTTGTCCCCGGCCCTGGTTGGTCGTGCGGGTGGCAGCCACTCGATGTGTCCCTTCACATCGATGTTTCTCTCTCTCTCTCCCTCCCACTCTATCTGTACAAAAAATGGAAAAATATCCTCGGGTGAGGATAAAAAAAAAAAAAGGATGGGGTTGTGGACAGGTGGAGGCAGGGAGGAAAAAGATCCCCCCTTTAACTCTTCAGAAAGCTGGATGTCCTCAAGGCTGCGTCCGCTAGCAGAGAATTCTGTTGGCACAGTGCATGGCAAATACATGAATAGGTAGCTTCAAAGCCCTGCTCTACCACTCCCACCCCTAGGTTTGTAAAATGGGGACATGACCTGGCTGGTACGACGTGGCTCAGTTGGTTGGAGCATTATCCTGTACACCAAAAGGTTGCAGGTTTGATCCTCAGGAAGTAACAAATTGTTTCTCTCTAGCATCAATGTTTCACTCTCTCCCTCTTTTTAAAATCCATAAAATGGGGACATTAGTGCCTGCACTTAGGCAGTATTACATGAGACAATACTCAGTATCTCATGAGTATTACATGAGATGGTATTCCATCTGCCTTTTTATCCTTTGGAGTGGGTCAGGACTCCTTGTGCTCTCAAGAACTCCGTACCCCTTCCTATCTGCTCCCTTCTTCTGATCCAATCCACATGGGCTCCAGTCACAGGGCACCCACACATCACCAGATACAGTTGGGAATCTGGGATCCCATGTTCACAGAAGGCTGTCCCTCTTGGAAAAATTAATTTATTTTTATCCTCACTCAAGGACATTTCTGCATTCATCCTCAGATAGAGCTGGAGGGAGAGAGGGAGGAAGAGAGAGAAACATCGATGTGATCACATTGAGTGGCGACCCCAACTGGGGCCGGGGACAAACTGCAACTGAAGTACACCCTCCTAGCAGGAACCAAACCTGGAATTCTCTAGTCCGCGGGCAGACACTCTAACCGCTGAGCCAAACCGGCCAGGGGCCTCTTGGAAAAAAAATTTTTTTTTTTTTTTTTTTAGGAATTTTTTTTTTTTTTTTTATCCTCACTCAAGGACATTTTTCCATTTTTTGTTCAGATAGAGCGGGAGGGAGAGAGAGGAAGAGAGAGAGAGAGAGAAACATCGATGTGAAGGGACACATCGAGTGGCTGCTACCCGCACGACCAACCAGGGCCGGGGACAAACTGCAACCGAGGTACGTGCCCTTAGCGGGAACCGAACCCGGGTCTCTCTGTACCGCAGGCCGACGCTCCAACCGCTGAGCCAAACCGGCCAGGGCGGAAAAAAAATTTTTTTATCCTCACCCGAGGACATTGTTTGCATTCATGTTCAGACAGAGCGGGAAGGAGAGAGGGAGGAAGAGAGAGGGAGAAACATCGACATGAGAGAGACATTGAGTGGTTGCCATCCACATGACCCCAACCAGGACCAGGGACAAATTGCAAACGAGGCATGTGCCCTGAGCGGGAGCCAAACCCGGGTCTCTCTGGACCGCGGGCCGACGCTCTAACCGCTGAGCAAAACCAGCCAGGGCCCTCTTGGAAAAATTTAAATGCACTCTTTGAGCTTGTAGAACCTCCTCTGACCTGCTCCCTAGGACAACAAAGAGCTTACTTAGAATAGGTGACTTCTTTTTAAGTAAAAAATTGAGATTATAATATACCTCCCCAAAAGTATCTAGGTGAGCCCTGGCCCTAGTTGGGTCCTGTGGGAGGCAACCGGTAATGTGTGAGAGATACATGGATGCTTCCCTCTCCTTCCCACTCCATCTAAAAAAAATCAATGGAAAAATATCCTCGAGTGAGGATTTTTTTAAAAGTATCCAGGTGAGACATTCCTTTAAAAAAAAATAGTTCATTGATGTTTAGAGAGAAGAAGGGTCAGGGGATGAGAGAAAGAGAGAAACAGCAATATGAGACTGCAACATTGATGGGCTGCCTCCTGCACGCACGCCCCCTACTGGGGATTAAGCCGGAAACCTGGACATGTGCCCATGCCAGGAATGGAATCCCAAACCTCCTGTTGCACAACTGAGCCACACCTGTCAGGGTGAGACATTCTTCTCCCTCTACACCTCCCCCTGCAAAATAAAACCTAAGTATGAACAAAATGAGAATGGAGCTTGTTTCATTTATCTTTTCTGGAATAGTGACCTGATTTGGAGCCCAAAGGACTTGCTTTTGTCTGTCTGTGTGTCTGTGAAGGTTTCTGGGCACGGTTTATAAATCATTCAAATTTACAAGATATTATTTTATTAATACAGTGATCTCCCCCACTAAATAAAGAAGATGCTTACATAAAAACATGAAGAGCACAAAACTCTTGGCAGGCCCCAGGCCAAGATGTCACAGGCTGACCCACCTGCAGCCAAGAAGGGCTTGCTGAAGCTCTGGCTGTCACTCTGAGGCATGAGGACCTGGGCAAAGAGGTGGCATTATTCTGCTCAGGGAAGTCACAGAACTCACTCTAGGGCTGGATTGTGGACTGTGCCAAAGCTCAACCCTTACCCCCTTTCTGACCACTAAGGTGTTCTTGGCTGTCAGGGTCAGGGTTGGGAGGACTCCAGGGTTTCCAGAGTGGCTTCGCTAGGGACCACTTCCCCGGGTCTCTTGGAATCTAGGTCATGGAGGGCACAAAGCTGCACCCCATCCTGGGCAAGCTGGGCTTTCAGTGTGGGCTCGGTGAGGACACGCAGCTCATGCAGCCGCTCCCAAGAGCAGGAAAAGGCATCAGGACCCTCACCGCAGCCTCCAGCGGGAGGCACACTGGGGTAGCCTGGGTGGGCCATCAGTTCGGCTGTCAGGGAGTGGCCCGTGGGGGTACCTTCCAGGGCCCGAGCCAATGCCCCTGACACGCGCTGAGCGGACATGTGCCGGCCGCAGGTGCTCAGGCCCACGAAGGCATCGGTCCACCTGTGGATACCCAAGCATCAGAGCAGGGACTGGCAGGGCTGCTATGGGCAGGACTAAGCCAAGGGCAGACAGATCAGAAGTGGAGACACTAGTGGTAGAAGCCTGACTCCCATGGTGAGAAACAGATTCAGCGGCCAATTGAATGGCCCCTGTACTCACTGGGACCTGAGCCAGGCAGGGAACAGGGCACAGCGCTTGGGGGCTCTCACCTTAGGCCGCTGCGGGAGAAGGGGCCCACAGCGGCCCGGGCGTCACGCTCCACCGAACACGCAAAGGCGCGCGCGGGGGCCTCGAGCCACGTACAGTCGCCCAATCCGCGCTCCAGCGGCAGCCGTGTGAAGCGCACCCTGTAAGCCTGCAGCGCCTCTGCGAATACCTGGCACACGCCTGCGGGAGGGACGCAGTCACGGAGGAGCAAGTCTGCCCACCTGGAGCACCTCCCACCCCACCTGGGCACACCAACCCCAGCTTGGGACCACCAACCTGGGATCACGTGCACGTGCTGGTGCCCGTCCACGTGAGTAGGGTTCCTACCCAGTAATTCCTGGAAGCGACTCAGCTGGGCCTCCAGCTCTTCCCGCACCTAGAAGGAGAGGACAATAGGCACCTTAAACGTCCGGGAGCGGCTACTAAAGAGAACCCCGCCTTGTGTATCCGTGTGACAGACTGCCCCAGAGTTGGAACTCGGGAAGTATCCAGCGCCCGCCTCTGATTGCGTCATGGTACCCTTGGGGTGGGGCCTTGTGTGTGTGTGTGTCGGGGAGGGGTGGGGTTCCTCCTCCTGAAGCCTCACTTCCGTACCTCGGAGAAGGACACATCTTCGGCTGCCACCGCCTCCCGGAATCCCATCTTGCCCAGGAAGAAGCCTTCGGGGCTGAGCAACGACGAGACACCGTGGCAGGCCGGGCCAATGGGGCGGCCCTCGGATAGGTTGGCGTGGAGTCCCGTGGGGATTTGGTGCCTGAGGGTGGAACGCGAGCGGGAGCACTGGCGGCCGCCGAGAGGCTGCGCCCCAAACCCTCCCTTACTCTGTATGGGGTTCTCTCATCTAACCTGCGGGCCAGTTCCGCAGCGCTCTCCGCCGTCGCGCCGTTGACCAGCAGGGACACGCTGGTCACAGCGCCGGCCAAGAAGGCCTCTACAATGCCCTCATCCCGCCGCGGGCAGTAACCAAAGTCGTCCGCAGTGACCACCAGCCGCACGCGCGGCCGAGCCATCTCTGCCTTTGCCGGCGACTGGGGACCTGAGGGGCGTGGACTGGACTGTCCAGGCCCCGCCCTTAAATACAGCCAGAGGCCCCTCCCTGATGCTCACACCCCGACGCGTCTGCACTTCGCCTTTGTTCTTGCCACCTAGTGGTCCCGCCATGGCCCTGCAGCGACCTCCCACCTCCACCCAGTGGACTCCAATCTAACCAGACCACAACTAGATTTATTGCAACGCGAAACTTTAAGTGACTGCAAAAATTATATTTAATATGAAAAATGCAGAAAAGGCCCTGGCTGGTTTGGCTCAGCAGTTAGAACATCAGCCCATGGACCGAATTGTCTTAGGTTTGATTCCCAGTGAAGGGCACAAATCTGGGTTGCAGGTTCGATTGTTGGCCCCTGGGGTCCTGCGGGAGGCAATCAGTTCATGTGTCTCTCTCATATCGAAGTTTTTCTCTCTCTCCCTTGCACTCAATCTAAAAATCAATGGAGAAATATCTTCAGGTGAGTATTAACAAAACAAAACAGTAGAAAAGAAAACCTGAAGAAAGAAATCTCTTACCCTTCCCAGAGATTACATCACTGTTAACTTTCTGGATATAGTGTCCTTCCAGTATTTTCGCTAAGCAAATAGACACACCCAATTCCTCTTCTCCCGCACCCCAAATTGTGAGAAATAATGATCAAATCAATGTTATCTCATTTTTGTAATGTTTATTTTTTAAATATGTTTTTTATTGATTAGAGAGAGAGGAAGGGAGAGAGAGAGATAAACTTCATCACTGCCTCCCACGAGCTCCCCATTGGGGACGGAGCCAGCAACTGGGGCATGTGAGCAATTGACCAGAAATCCAATTGGGACCTCTCAGTCCATGAGAGGAAACTCAATTCAATGAGCCACACTGGCCAGGCATATTTCATTTTTTTATAGTGACTATGAACTTTTTCATGATTTTATTAGTTCTTCTTTTTCAAATTGCTTGTTTGTCTTTTACTGATATATTTTTTAGACATCTCTTTTTTTATATATTTTCTTTTCTTGTCTTTTTTTTTTTTTTTAATCCTCACCCGAGGACATTTTTTTCATTTTTTGTTCAGATAGAGTGGGAGGGAGAAAGAGAGAGAGAAACGTCGATGTGAAAGGGACATATCAAGTGGTTGCCACCCACATGACCCAACCAGGGCTGGGGACAAACTGCAACTGAGGTACATGCCCTTAGCGAGAACCGAACCTGGGTCTCTCAGGACCGCAGGCCAACACTCTAACCGCTGAGCCAAACCGGCCAGGGCTATATTTTCTTTTCTTTATTGAGTTTTAGAGAGAGAGGAAGGGAGAGGGAGAGAGAGATAGGAACATCGATGAGAGAGAACATCAATTGGCCGCCTCCTGTGTGCCTCCCACTGAGGATATGAACCCACAACCTGAGCATGTGCCCTCACTGGGAATCGAACCAGTGACCTCTTGGTGCATGGGTTGATGCTCAACCACTGAGCCACACTGGCCGGGCCTGATTTTTTTAAGAGGTTTGTTTGGTGTGATTTGTAAAAGCTCTAAACAGTAAGAAAATGAAAGAAAACGTAATACCAATAGCTTTATTTGAGAAAGCATTAGCCCCTGTTTCCTTTCATCTCTTGAGTTCTCTGCCAAGCTAAGTTTTACATTAATAGCTTCTTTTTTTTTCTCTGTGGTCCAGAGAAGCTTTCCTTACCCATGACTTGACAAATAGTCATATGATTGAAAACCAGGGTTTTCATTATGATGTGGCTGTCTTGATTTTCTCAATGGAAGTGCAGCATTTGTGTTCAGCCTGTGATGTTGGTAATGTAATTTCTGTTTACCAATCTGTTTTGTAGATGAAGAAATTGAGGCTCAGAGAAGGGAAGTTTCTTTCCCAATATGACCCTGCCAGGAGTAATGGAGCTGAGACTACTTCTGAAGCTCTGAATCTGTATCTGGGTCTGCTCTGGTCCTTTAGGCCCTGGCTTCCTCTAGGTCAGGGTCAGAGAGGAAAGAGCTGAGCTGGAGAATAACAAATGATACCCACTTCCATGAGGGCAGTGTAAGAATTGGAGGCCTTGCCCTGGCTGGTCTGGCTGAGCAGTAGAGCTTCGGCCTGTGGACCAATGAGTCGCGGGTTAGATTCTGGCCAAGGGCATGTACCTTGGTTGCGGTTCCTCCCTGGCCCTCGTCCAGGTTGTGCGGGAGACAACCTGTCATGTGTCCCTCTCACATCAATGTTTCTCTCTTTCTCCTTTTCTCTCCCTCTCTCCCTCCCATTCTGTCTAAAGATAAATAGAAAAATATCTTCGGGTAAGGATTAAGAAAAAGAATTGGAGGCCTCAAAGAGTTCACTGAGCTCTTGGCACAAGGACTGTAGTGTTCAAACGTGATTATTAAATCATCAGATCTCAATCAACCATCATTCTCCACTAGGAAGCTGATCCTGGAAAGGCCAAAGATCTTGAGTGTCTGAAGATTGGACGGAGGAAATAGATATTTATTGAGCATCTATTTTAATACTAGTAGTGGTATTAGAAATATTAGAGATTAGGGGTGGGCGCCTCAGTTCCTACCTCTAAGGAGTGCCATCTGGTAGACAAATAAGTAATCAAGTGTGGCAGAATCTGGGATGGAGTTTGCGATCATTCTGTTGGGGACTGGGCGGTGAGCCTTTTGGGAAGGCTTAAGAGGACACATCTGGCAGGGGGACTGCTTGAGGAGTTTACCAGGCAGAGGGGAGAGGAGGTAAAGATACATGGGGAGCTTACAGGGTGCCAGGTGTATTGTATGAACATTTTAATCTTCATACTCCCATGTGGAAGGACATTCAACTCCATTTATAGAGGAGGATGAGGATCAGAGAGATTGAGTCCACAAGCAGGAAACAGCAGAGCTAGGAACTGAAGCTAGGTCTGTGAGTTAGAGCCGGGACTCTTTCCACTACGCTCAGGGAGACTGCAGAAGGAAGAGGGCTCAAGACAGATCCTAGGGTTATCCACACTGGGAGAGGATACTGGAAAGAAGACAGGGAGCAGGAGGCCCAGGACAACGCAGGGACCTGAGAGGAGCTGAAGATGCTTGTGTCACTAGAGTATACTGTGACTTTGCCCTTTAGGCTCCTCACTGGGCGGATAGTGAGAGAGGACCAGTCTCTCCCTCTGGCTCCGAATGTGGGAGTGACAGAGCCGGAAGAAGTGGGGAGGGGCCAATGTGGGTTACGCCCACAACCTTTGTGTCGGGGGAGCTAGAGAAAGATCTCCGGTTGAGAGCCAATCAAGATGCTGCATGCAAATGAGCAAGCGGGGAGGTCTTGGGGCGACACCAGAGCACCGTGTAGCTGCCCTCCAGCGCTCGTAGATTGATTGCACTAGCTGGCGCCAAGCGAGGAACCGACTCTGGTGCTTGAGTGATCTCAGCCAGGGACAGACGCCAGGGCGCCCGGGGTCTGGGAGGGGAGAGGGTTGGAGATGGTTAGAGACAGGATGCGAACCTTGGTGACCCCATCCCCGACGACTCTAGATATATGCGCAGATACCCTGGGGACTCCGAGCAGAGGAAGGGCCAGACGCGTGAGGGACATGGGTTGGAGGGAGCAAGGGACCCTTGGACCCCCGGGCCACTGACGCAGTGTCAGACAGACGGACGGAGACTCGAAGCTATGGAAACTGGGGAGACAGATTCTCACGCCATCTCCCCGCCCGGCGCAGGGAGGACTCCTGGACTGCACCGCAGAACCGAAGAGAGAGGAGGCTTGTCGCCGAGGGATGTAACCACATGAGCAGCTGCCGCCACCACTCGGGATACTTGGCGGACGATGAGGCCGGTCACACCACGTACCTGGCCCGGGTAAGTGTGCCTGGCAAGGCCTGACTCTGAGGCTCCACCTCATCATGATCCTCACCAGCTCAGGGGGCCTGGATCACAGCATCCTTTTCTCATTTCCTGTTGACTTCCTCTTTGGGCCTCTTAATGACGTCCTTATCTCTTGACTACTGCTCTGACCCCCTGTTGGGCCCCAGTCACCCTCAATTTCATTCCATGCCTCCTGACTTCAAGTGGCCTAGGAGGAGCTTAGTGGATTGGGCCCCTGAATAGGATCATGGAGTCTACTCAGGGCTTAGGACTTAAGTTGCAGAAGTAGCCATGGGGTGTGCAGGGCTCAGGACCACAGGTGTGTCTGTGCATCGCAGCAGTGGAGCAGGGCTGGCCTGCTCTACAGACAGATGAGGAGCCCAAGTGGGTCTCAGAGGGGTTTTGTGATTACCCACTCACACACTGTGTCAGGGCAGAAATGGGCTTTCAGACTCCCAGGCCAGGGCTTGTGCATGTGAAATGTACATGTCAGGGAAGCTCAGAGCAACCCTACATAGATCCCCACTTTGCAGAAGAAGAAACTGGATCTCAAGATGGACCATTGTGCCCACAGTCACAAAGCCTGAAGGTGGCAGAACCAGGGTCTAAACGCAGGGCTGCCTGACTCCAAATCACAGTTCCTTCCACTGCCCACTCCCCACCCAGCTCCTGGTGCTTTAGGAGGACCCCAGGGATCACTACTCCTCTAGGGCATTCCTGACCACTGTGACATGCCTGTCTGCTCAGGTGCAGCCACCTAAGAAGTCAGCGTTCCCGAAAATGGGGCAGGCCTCCAAGCCAAGCCACATGCCACACCCACCATCGATGTGCGGCCCCTCGGGCAGCTCAGGGCTTCGAAACCACTGTCGAAACTCCAGGGGCCCTCAGCCCTTTGGTAGCTTCCTGGATTTCCTTGTCGAGGGCCAGGTGCTGGACAGCTTGCAGAGGGTGGTGGAGGAAGCAACTGAGCGTATAGCCACCATGAAGACAGAGACTGGGGTGCCGCTGGTGGAGGTGCAGGACCCAGTGGAGGTGCCAAGGGGTGGGAGGCGGGTGCGTGCCAGGCCCAGCCTCAGTACAGTGCACCGACATCAGGTCCGACCCAGCCTCTGCATCGGGCACCCCAACAACTACCCATCCTGCTCGAGCTCCATGTCTGACTCACATAACAGTACCATAGCCGACTGGCCGAATTCCCACAGCCGGGACAGCGACCTGGGCTACCAAGGCTTGGGCCCACTGCCACCCACAAGGGACAGACTTCTGCAGGAGAAGAGCCTCAAACGGCTGCTGCGGTTAGAGAACAGAGGGGTAAGATATGGGGCCATGGCCTGGGGTAGATAGGCTGGAGCCCAGGGTCAAGCTTGGCTTGGCTGTTCCTGGACACCTCTGAGAATCTCCTTCTCTCTTCAGAAAAGCCTGGGGAAGTCCTGCTCCCAGAGGGACTCCCTGCTGTGGGACTCGCTGGGCTCAAGCATGGGCATGCCCAAAGCATCAGAGCTGGGGCCTGGAGAGAGAGAGTTGACCTTCCTCAGGAGAGAGTTAAACAAGGAGATCAAGTCCTTGCTGAGACAGCCAGAGTCCTTCAACCTGCCTGGCTACTCTTCACTCCATGAGCCCCATCGGACCATAGACTTCCTGGCCAAGCACCACCTCTATCCTGCCCTGCAGAGTGTGGTCAGCCAGGCTGTGGACAAGCTCACTGGTGCCCTCTGCCATGATGGATGCCCTCTCTTCCCATCAGAAGGGAAACCCAGCACAGAACCCAATTCAGGCTTCAAGCAGGCCATACCCACCAAAGGGGAGGAGCCCTATGATTTGCCCACCACCACAACCCCGGGCTTCAAGATGGTTGGAAGAAAGAACACCAAGTCTAGAGTACGGGAAAGGCTAAAGGGTGGTGGTTTTCCCATGTCTAGTGCCCAAGGGGTCACCAGATTCAGGCTCCAGGTGATACCCACAGAAGAGCCCAAGGTCCCCTCACCCCACTCTAGACAGGAGGCACCTGATCAGGACCCCAAAGAAGACACACCACCCATGTTTTCTTCTGGGCCCCAGAGCTCTAGTCAAAAGGCCCAGCCCTGGCGGAGCCTACACCTTACCCTACCTGCCCCCGGGACCAAGGTGGAAGTGCCAAGCCATACCCACCTCACCCAGGTAACAGCTCCACATGCCTCCCCCTGCTGTCTCTCCTCCTGCCACCCCCCTGTGTTCTCACCACTTACCTCCTTGCTAAGAAACTTATCCCCATCACTCACTTCACTGTATCCAGAGACAATCTCCTCTAGGGTGGGACTGGGGGATATAGGGGCAAGTTTGCAAGGTAATGTCCCCTTCAGACACCATTCCTAGCAACCACTGTCACTGGCAGGTGCCCATGGTTCAGGTCTCTTGCCCTGTACTGTGGAAACCACCTGAGCAGGGGACAAACTGATAGGGACCAGGAACCCTGGCCTAGTTACTGCCAGGTGTTGTCAAAGATGAATAAAGGCTATTTTTAATTCTGGGTATTTTTTTTAACATTTGCATGTGAATCTTGGAGACCCTCCCATGTGGGGAGGGTCCTGTCCCTTGTGGACAGCAACCCAAGCCCAGAGTGGGGCCCTACATCCTAGGTCTAGTACCCTCTGGTCCTGTTGCCTTGGACAAGGCTCCAGAATATCTGTCCTGATGATGGAGTTGACTAGGAAGGGTTGAGGCAATGTAGGTGGCTTCACCCTGGTGGGTCTCCAGCACTGCTCCAGACCCTCTTGTCATTCATCAAGGCTCAGGCACACTTCCCTCCTCTGAACTGTAGTCTGGGCAAAAACCTGCTGAAATCTAGTTTGTCCAGGCACCAGTTTGGCTGCCAATGTGACTACAGTCACAAGCCTTGTCCTAGGCCTGACTGGTGTGGCCAGTATGATGATAGTGTGATGTGAGGGTTGGTTGATATGCAGGACTTGTGCTCAGCTGTTGAGCAGGACAGCAGAGCAGATGTGTCAAGGCCATATCCGTTAGTGTGATAAGCATGGTGTCCATGTGGGTGACATGTAGGGAGCTCTGGGTGTGAGGGGCATCCCAGAGCAGCAAGAGTGGCATGACATGTCTCCCTTTCCCTCCCTGGCTGCTGCACAGAGCAACAATTACAAGTTCATGAAGAAGACAACACTGCCCTCCATCTCCAAGTCCATGTCCCATTTCTCCAATCCCTGGTACGAGGAGCTCGTCAACTACTTGGTAGAGCAGGCTGTCTCCTTGCTTGTTTGCAAGTACAAATATAAGAGGAACCTCACCAAGCAGCTGGGCTTCATCTCCTTCCCTGTCACCGAGACACTCACAAACCTCTTGCTGGGCTTCAAGAAGGTGAAAGGCTCCGATATCTGCCTGTCCTCAGATGTCAACTGGAGCTGCTTGCTTCGCAAGCTAGAGGAGACCCAGAGGGCCCAGAAGACCTCCCAGCATGACACCTCTCATCACACTGATTCCCACCAGGACACCACCCACCAAGGCACCTCCCTGAACACTACAGAGTCCCTCTCCACATTGCCCATGTCAGCCACTGTCATGGATCAGAAGGTGGAGGAGTTGCCGGGCCCCCAGCTGCCCAGCCCTCTGGAAGACAGCACAGACAAGGAGCAGGGGCCCACAAACCCAGTGAAGCCCAAGTTTTCCCTGTCCTACAGCGCTGGCATGAGCCCCAACCAGTTTGAGCAAGCGGTGGACATGGGGGAGAGTGAGAAGAGTGAGGAGGAGGAGGACGACGAGGACTACAAAACTGAGGGAATGAGAAAGACCCAGAGCACCCTTGAGCCTCAAGTATCCGCCACTCTTCAGATGGCTCCGGAGACTCCCCATGATTCCCCCTAAGCTGAACTGAGTTCTGGATTCCCTACTCCTGCTCCAGGGAAATGCTGCCCACCAAGCCAGCCTCTGCCCTGTGCAGAAGTCAGAATGGGCCAAATGCCCACAAGAAGCTCTCTGCTCAGCCTCTCGAGAGAGCCAACAGAAAAAAATAAAACAGCTGTTGATGGAGCACAGTTTTCTCGCCTGGAGATTTTAGCCTCCCCTTTCACACATTTGCTTACCTGTCCTTGAATAGCACCTCCAGCCAGCCAGGCCTGGCCGAAGCTGGCTTTCATGACAGCAGGCAGTGCTCTGACCCCCATGACCTCACATGCTCTGTTGAACACAAATCCCTGTTCAGGGCTTTTCTGTATTCCAGTCTGTATTTTTTTGGCTCTTCAAGCCTCTCAGGGTTCATGGTCCCCCTCCATCACAGCCCCTGTGCATCATACTTCTGCTTCTGGAGGGCTCCTCCTCTGCCAGGGCAGCTCCCTCCTTCCTTTGACATGCCACACTGTCACATTCCAACTGAGGAACCATCCTTTCCCGCTGCTCCCATGGCCTCCTGTCTTCCTAATTCGTTATTTCCTACCTCCAACTCCTGAATCTGGAGGTTCTATGCCAAGCCATGTGGCGCTGCTGCTTGTTCAAGCTGTGGATTGGCTGCCCCAGGTTGGCCACAAGACTACTCTTTTTAGTGGCCCTCTCTCCAGAAGGGTCTGTGGGCACAGAAGATCTCATATCCAAGGTTCTCCTGGGGCTTCTGGCCTTCCTGTGCCACCAGCTCAACACCCTCCTTCTCTCTGTCTTCTTAGGTCAGTCTGTTTGCTCCCCTGTTCAGGCATCTTTGCCCAGGGACCAGCTCAACCTTTTCCCTCACCACCGTTTTCCCCTGGCTGAGAGAACACGTGGAGATGCTCCATGCTGCCTTACCTTGCAGGAGGTGTGTCTTTCATGCCTCCCCCTGGAGCCCACCCAGGTGCAGAGAGGCCAGGCCTATTCAACATAGTCCAACCATGCTCAGTTGCCCATGGGTAAGGACACAGAAACTGTAAAGTTTCCTCTGGAGCTAGGCAGGGAGGACCTTCCACACAACACCCACACCCTGCGACTCAGGGAGGAGGGCTTGCTCCGCTGTCAGTCAGAGGGACCCGAGTTCTAAGGTAGCAGGGGAAGGGCAGTGGCGGGGATGGGGGGCAGTGACAGTCAGGGACCCATTTTTCCACAGAGCTCTCTTTTAGTAAGGATCTTTTAGGGAACATGTTCAGCCCATTAAGATCCATTCCCTGAGGCCACCTGCCACCACCACCACCATAGTGTGGGGCCATGACAGCTATTTTCATGCCTTATTGCCATTCCAGTAGGCCATAGTTGCTTGACCCTATTGGCACATCTCTAGTCCAGGCTAGGCCAGTCAGGTTCTTTCCAGGAGCTTGCAATTGGGATGCACTGAGAAATTCTGGTTCAGTTTGCACTGATGGCTGAAGACAAGCAGCCATCTTCACCCCTTTCAAGAGGCAAGAAATCCTGATGGCAGGAGGGAGCCAAGAACGGGAGCCCCAAAATTCTGAGAGACAGCAGCTGCTGTGATACCCACCAACTTCTCAAGTCCCACTGCTAAGTCCTCAAGGAAGATTTGAACCTCAGCCTCAAGGTACATGTCCAGGGACTGTCCTGGCACAGGAGCAGACCCTTCCCTTTGGGAACCACTGACACATGATACTAGAGACACATGACCTTAGCTCCTGTTTCAGGTGTCTGTTGCTGTGTAAGAAACTGCTCTGAGCCCTGGCTGGTTTCACTTAGCAGTTAGAGCATCGGTCCATGGACCAAGGGGTTATGGGTTTGATTCCTGGTCAAGGGCACATATGTACCTGGGTAGCAGGTTCAATCCCTGGTCCTGGTCACGGTCATGCAGGAGGCAACCAACTGATGTGTCTCTCTTACATTGATGTCTCTCTTTCTCTCCCTCCTTTCCTTCCACTCTATCCAAAACTCAATGGAGCCCTGGCCGGTTTGGCTCAGCGGTTGGAGCATCGGCCTGTGGACTAGAGAGTCCCGGGTTCGATTCCCGCTAGGGGCACATACCAAAAATAAATAAATAAATAAATAAATAAATAAATAAATAATAAAATAATAAAATAAAACTCAATGGAAAAATATCCTCAGGTGAGGATTAACAAAACAAGAAACTACTCTGAGACTAAAGTGGCTCTAAAGCATTTGTCATGATACTGGTTTTCTTTTTCTTTCTTTTTTTTTTATCCTCACCCGAGGACATTTTTCCATTTTTTGTTCAGGTGGAGTGGGAGGGAGAGAGAGGAACAGAGAGAGAGAGAGAGAAACATCGATGTAAAAGGAACACATTGAGTGGCTGCCACCCACACGACGGACCAGGGCCAGGGACAAACTGCAACCAAGGTACGTGCCCTTAGCGGGAACCGAACCCGGGTCTCTCTGGACTGCAGGCCAATGCCCTAACCGCTGAGCCAAACTAGCCAGGGCTGGTTTTCTTTTTCTTAATCTTCACTTGAGGATATTATTTCCATTCAGTTTTAGAGAGCATTGACGGGAGGGAGTGGGGTGAGGGAAGAGAGAAAGAGAGGTAGAGAGAGAAACATTGATATGAGAGAGACACATAAAATGGTTGCCTCCCATATGTGCCCAGACCAGAGCCAGTGATCGAACCTGCAACCGAGGTACATGCCCTTGACTGGGAATCAAACCCACAACTCTTTGGTCTGTGGGCCAATGCTATAACCACTGAACAAACTAGCCAGGAAATGATGCTGGGTTTTATTTTATTTTTTAAATCCTTACTTGAGGATATATGGAGTATTTTTTTTTTAATTGATTTTAGAGAGAATGAGAAAGTAACATCGATGTGAGGGAGAAACTTCGATTGGTTGCCTCCCACAGGACCCCGACCAGGGATCGAACCTGCAACCCAGGTACATGCCCTTAACCAGGAATTGAACCAATTGTTCAGTCTGCTGGCTGGTGCTCTAACCACTGAAAAAAACCAGCCAGGCTGAATAATGCTTTTTAAGGCATAAGTCACTTTCCTGTGTGGAGAATGTCTTGAAAGGGCCAGAGTATCAGAAGCAGGGAAATCAGTTAGGATGTGATGGTAGATATCTGGAGGGGAGACAGGGTGGCTTGTATTACAGTGGTGATGAGGGATGCAAGAGAGATGCCTTACAATCTGTTATGGAGTCAGTGTTGGATTAGATGTGAGTGCAGTAAAGAGAGGAATCAAAGATGAAGCCTAAGTTTTGGGTTTGAGCAACTGGTGACTGGAGGTGTCATTACTGGGATGGGGAAATCTGGCGGCGGTAGGGGGAGCAGTTTGAGGGAAGGGTCCAGGAATTCTGCTTTGGACATATTAGGTGTGAGATGTTTATTGGTATGTCCAACAGTACACATTCATTGCAATTTTGACACTCTAAATGCTGGAAAGATCAAGATGTGCTATCCCTTATGCAATTTGAAGTAAAAACAATATTAAAGCACGAAAACCCCCAAATAACATGTTGCTGTAATTAAAATGGCTCTAGTCTGAATTTTCTGAATGCAAAATTCTATATGCGTCCTGGCAGGTTTGGTTTAGCGAGGGATGGCCCATCAATCAAAGGATCTGCGATTCCATTCCCAGGCCTGGTTGGAGTCGTGTGGGAAGCAACCAATCAATGTCTCTCTCACATCGGTGTCCCCCCCCCGCCCCCCGCCCCCCCCGCCTTCACTTTCACTTTATTTAAAAATCAATGGAAAAATATCCTCAGGTGAAGATTAACAAAAAAATAATAATTTTTTTTTGTTTTTAATAATTCGGGATGAGTTCATTAAACATGAACTCTTCTCCCTGCTTTGCTGGTGGCCCAAGTACATGGGTATTCAGCCTATTGGTTAATGTAAATCAGAGCCAGCCCCACCCCCTCCCCTTGCCTCAGCACAGCACTTGCCTGGAGTGAAAAATGTTCCACTAATGGCTAGGTAAACGGGTGTAAATTTCCCACCCTTGAAGATTCGAGCTGGCAGCCCTCTGAAAAGGCAGTGAGATTGGGACCCATGCATATCAGAAATTTGGGATACACAGTCACCCAGGCTTGGTTCCTACAGTCACTTTCTACCGTGGCTCTGGTTTCCTAAAACAGTTTTGGGGCTTTCCAGTGAAAATATGCCATTACCCTAAATACCACTGCTCCCTGCTGCCGTCTGCTGCTCAATCGCAATAGTCACGGAAGGAGTTGCTGAGAGGCCGTATGAATTCAGAAACCACAGGGTCTAGGGCCTGAGGTGACCCAATGTCAGAGAGAGGAAAATGGCCGAGTGACTGGGGGATTATTTAATCCCGGGATCCGGGAATTGAAGGACCAGGTAATATGGTACCTGAGACCCGTTGACTTTGTGACCACAAACTTTAGTGGTCGAGCAACCTCAAGAACCTGAAGCTGCGGACCGAGGGTCTGAATGGAGAGGCCATGAATGAGGGCTCGGGGATCTAGGATGAAGCAGCTTCATGAACAGGATGCGTGGAGCGCCCTCACCTACAGCGGTCCGCAGCTGGCTTTCCCACAGTTTGGAGCCGCACCAACCTTCCTTTGGTACTCATTGGTGAGTCCTCGGAAGCGTGGACCAATCAAATCCCTCCTCGTGTCCCCAGCTCCCTCCCAGCAGCGGCTCTCGAAAGTTGGGGGAGGATCCCCTCCACGGCGACCCAATGGTAGGGCAGGTGGAGGGCCGTGCAGACCCGCGACTGGCTGTTGCGGTGGGCTCTGTCAAAGCCGGATTGGCCGGCTGCGGAGACGGAAGCCGCTCAAGGGCCCGAGCTGGCGGAGCCCGGCTGGGGTGATGTGGAGCGCGGGACGCGGCCGAAGTGCCGGAGCGGCGCTGTTGGGGCTACTGCTGGTGCTCTTGGTGGGTAGCGGTGCCACCAAGACCAGCGCGGGGCTCGTGACCTGCGGGTCGGTGCTGAAGCTGTTCAACACGCAGCACAGGGTGCGGCTGCACTCGCACGACGTCAAATACGGATCCGGTGCGCGGGGGCCCAGGACTGGGGCATCGCTAGGGGGCGGGGCCTGGGGCTGGGACTTTGAAGGTTAGGTGATTGTGAGGGTCTGCGGGACAACTGTCTGGGGATTATCTGGCCGGAAATAATGGAGGTACTGAGGGGGGCAAGGACC